TAAACGCAGCCACCGTCAAACACCTGAAAACATCACCGTCACCCCCTCCCCCCCATATCAAACTAATCTCACCCAAGGAGATCCTATCCATCATCCGGAGCCTCAGAAGCAACAAAGCCCCGGGACACGACAACATCACAAATCTACTCCTTAAAAACCTCCCGAAAAAAGCAGTAGTCTACCTGAACTATATTATCAATGCCATCCTTGCACACAGCCACTTTCCCGCCCCCTGGAAACACGCCACCGTCATCCCAATACCTAAACCAAATAAAAACCCATCCCTCACCTCCAGCTACTGTCCAATCAGCCTACTCCCCTCCCTCTCCAAGGTAGCAGAAAGAACTATCCTCTCCCGACTAACCTCCTTCCTGAACGAACACGAGATAATTCCCCCCACCCAATTCGGCTTCCGCCAAAAACACTCGACCATCCACCAGCTAGCAAGGGTAACAAATGACATTAAATTACACATGTCCAATAAAAACACCACGGCAATGATCCTCCTAGACGCTGAAAAGGCCTTCGACTCCGTATAGATCGAAGGATTAACACACCGCCTCCGCACCTACAACATTCCCCTGCCTCTAACCAGGCTAATTCACTCGTTCCTCACAAACCGCAGCATAACGGTCAGAGTAGGTCAGGCCCGCTCCTGTATCTACACCATAGCCGCAGGAGTCCCACAGGGCTCCGTACTCCGTCCTCTCTCCAACCCTCTTCAACATATTTATAGCCCCGGCCTTCAAGGACCTACCCAAATCCACTCACATCACCGGCTTCGCGGATGACATCTCCCTTTACACCGCCAGCCCATCCTCCCACAAAGCAATAAACCGCATCCAGAACGCAGCTCACCTAATAACCTCCCGACTAAGCAAATGGAAACTCCAAATAAACACTGCCAAAACTGAGGCCATCCTGTTCACGCACAAAAGAAAGATCTCTTACAACCTGAAAATTCAAAACTCTACTATTGAAACCAAAAAATCAGTTAAATACCTAGGAATCCACATGGACTCCAGGCTCACGTGGTTCAAGCAAACTTCCGATGCAGCCCGCAAAACCACCTCCATTCTGGCCAGATACTACCACCTAATAAAATCCCCCGCCCTCCCAACAAAACTAAAACTCCTACTGTACAAATCTATCATCCACCCCGTACTCACCTACGCCTGCCCAGTTTGGCATACAGCTGCGCATACCCATCTGAAAAAACTCCAAGTAGCCCAAAACAAAAGACTAAAAATAGAGGTAAACCTCCCAAAACGCACCTCAACCGCCTACATTCAGCGCACCCTAAACATCACACCAATAACTGCACACATAGGAAATATCAACACTAACTTCAACAACAACATAAAAAATCACACAAACCCACCCATGAAAGGCACTACAACAAACTCCAAGCCCACCAAGAAAAAAAAACCGAGCTGGCTGACTACTCACATAAGCTGCCAAACACTACAACCCCTCATTAAAAATATAAGCAAACCATAAATACTACTCATAAGTAACACAAATGTAACATAATGCAAATAATGCAAATACGACTAATCCACTAACATAGCCTAAGCATCCGCTAACCACCCACTAACATCCCCAAACCCCCGCCCTCTAACGACTAAGTAAACGCCCACCCACCAAGCTTGTAAGTTTTTACTAAATTTTCCCTATGCACCGAATCTCATGATTAAATCCGCAAAACACACGTTCGAAGAAATCACCCAACCCCTCACCCCAGCACGTCAGATGTCCTAGAACAGGAAGCGTAACACAGCTCGCCTCCCCGTCACATTACAAATATAATGTATTCCTCTACAGTCATGTTAACAAATAAAAATAAATGGTAAATGGTAAAATGGCAGTGGGCATGCGCCCAAGATGTTTTTTAGTTATGACAACTAGCAGGATGCTACAAATTGTAAAAACAGTACAAACAGAAATTTTTTGCAATGTGCACATCTAACAAACAATATTAAATTACAATTACATTTGTTATTTTTTATATTTGGTGGAAAATAAACTACATTAATGTAGGAAATTATTCGCTATTCAACTATTATTTTTGGGGACAACCAAGAATAATGAATTGTACCTTTATATAAGTATAGACGCAAATAGTTTACGATGAATGAATGATTATATTTTTATTGTTTTCAAACAGTTGAAGAAACATAAAAGTAAAAATATAAAAATAAAATAATGTGAAATTTTATTAATTAAAATAAGAGTGAAAACAATTCTTCATTGTACAAAGATCTGAACTCAGATTAACCGCTTACGAAACAACCATCCTGTGTACTGGCTCACAGCCGATTGTTGAATTGTGCCTAAACTTCTAAAGTTTTATAGAAGTAATTTCAATTGTTTATAAAAAATGCGCATTGAAATGAAATATTTTACAGAATGTCATTTTTCAACTTCTAGATTCATCCCTGCAAATTTCATTAAAATCCTGGGGGGTCAGGTATGTAGTCTTCTTGATAAGTGCTTTGCACATCAATATTTCTCAAATTTTTCATTTCACTGAAAAGTTACAAAATTAAATTATAAAATAATTAAAAATAAAAAGTAACACCGGCGCACAGTGTTTCGACCAATGGACAAAAATCAGAAATTCAAAGTGCAAAATCTAAAAATTATTTCATTTTAAGATGTTAATAACAAACCATAGTTTGTAATATTACCTATAATTTTGACTGAATACGTCCATTTGCTGTTAAAATTAAGACGTGAAGTTTGCTCCAAATATGTGCCATTCTCAGACTATTTGTGTTTTTGATTTGATTTTTATAGGTTGTGTTTGGTACTTGAATACTTTTGAAGCTGACACAGAATTTTAATACAATAGTAATAAATTTTCCTAATTTTTTATGTAAAATTTTTATCAAATTTAACGAGACTTTTAAAAAAAGTACCGAGTAATACCTCTGTGATTTTTTGTATATTAATTATTATTCGTATGTTAATTTTGAACATATATGTAAATCTTTATATTAATGTCAAATTTAAAGAAGAAAATTGTCAAAATCGTTATTGACGCGTTCAGTATTCTAGCGTCCTATCCTACTATTGTACGCGTTATTCAATTTTTTAATTATTTATATTGTTATTTAACTACCTAATGAAAATTACAAAACAAAAATAAAAGAGAAATTTTGAATGTATACAAAGTTATGATATTTGTCTCTGAAACCCCTGTGTGCGAAACGGCCACTACGATTTTGTCGGTATTTCCGCGAAACTGATGAACAAATTTTTCAAACAAAAGTTAATCAGCATTCAGTTGACAATAAATCATGTTAATGAAAATTTACAAAAAAGTTTTTATTCGATAAAAAATATAGATCGCTACAATTTTTTTAAATGAAACCATATATTTTTTTATGTGTCAATCAATGCATATTTGAATTCTCTTCAAAAAAGTATTAGAGAACTTAAGTCGAAAATTGATTAATTTAGAAATTATGATTTTTGTCCCGAACACCCATATACTCGAAACACTGCGTCTCACCGAGATTCAAAGGGAATCTCCTAATTCGTACTCATGCGCTCAGATTGCTCGAGCGTCACGTGGTGTCGTGGATAATTGGTGGAAAGAGCCGAACAGGCTTCGCACACGGACAGAGCTACCGCTACACTTGTGTGAGAGCACGAGATACTCATGCGCTCAGGTTTCTTGAGCGTCACGTGGTGACGTAGATTATTGGCGGAAAAAGTCGAACAGGCTTCGCAAACGCAGAGCTACCACTACACTTGCGTGAGAGCATGAGGACGGTATAGTGGGAGACGGCTGTAGGTCATAATCATAGTGGGGGTAACTGCTTTCGCCCACGGCCCACGATTGTGGCAGCACTGATGGTCATCTAAAAATATTTTGCTGGTTTTACATTAATGTAACTTTTGAACTCTGGTGCAAAACTGAGTCTTTCAATTTTTATCATTATACATTAATAAATAAACATTTTAAATATACGGAAACTTTCAAGAATACTGTAAAACGCCCGATTATTGGTTCAGTTATGTCTTCACTGCAGCTCGTCTCCGTAAAACTACCTTCACCTCTTATTAACACATGCTAACAGGTTTTTGATTTTTCCTGCATGACACATGCGTAGTGTAACTAAGCAAATAGGAAAATTAACACTAGTATTTTCAAGTAACAAACGGATTATAGGGCATCCAAACTGTCCCGGGTTCTGTATAAAATAACACGGGTGGAAAAAAAAAAGACTGATGTCAATCTACAAATAATACCTTCTTAGACACAATTGTTCAAAGTATTGTGCCAAAGAAAGATATTATTATATTATTTGAATAAACTTTATTTATTTATATACAAATTCCTCGTCCTGTCTGAAAATATAACTAGTGTAGTGACAACGTATGTAGCTACATTTCCTTTTCTCTGCGCATCTTCTGTTTTATTTGAAGCTTTCTTTGTTGTAAAATACATTTATAAGTTTGTACGGAAATTATGAGTATATATAATACCGAGCACTAGTATTAGGACTAAATACAGTGAGATATATGCTCGTAACATAAATTACTTTCATACAGCCTTATTATTTATATAAATATTAATTTTATTTAAAACTTTAGTTCTTTGGTCATGCGCGTGTACGCTTAAGTACTGCATTACAAGAAAATATTAAACTATTCACGAAACATAACTATCACTAATGTCTTTGCGTGCTAGTAAACTGAATATAACAATAAATTATTTTGATATGATGATAATCACAGTAAAATACATAACGTGTAATGTGTAAATATTAATACATAGCACTACCACTTCGTGATCTGTCACTCAATAAGGATCTTTTATTTACACGTGTAAATACCCGAGTCTATGTCACAGAAACCACAACAAAAAGTACATGATCTTTGATTCTTTAAAAGCTGTACGTATACCAAAATTCAATCGTTAGCTTTGACTAGAGATTATCTGAAATACGATACTTTTACAGTATATGTTAATTTTATTATCTGACTATTTTAAAAACACTGAAATAAAGGTAAATTATATTACAAAACTAGTTCCGAGCTTGTTTTGTTTTCTCGTGAAAGCTAATATTTTAATAATATTCAATAACATTTTATACATACACGTACAAGTAGGCGTGCGTTTATGTAAAATTTGTGCTTAGTGTTTATGTAACTTTTTACATATCTCCGTAAATTATGGAATGCGTGACAATTTGTGAAATACGGTAATTCATAGACCTGATATTTTTCTTTGTAATACAATCCAATCCATAACCTTTTGCTGCATTTTTCTCTGTTGCAATAAAACTTCTGCAGCTTTTTGAAACTTTTCTTCATTTCTGCGTATATACATTCTTGCATCTTGTTCTAACTGATTGATCTTCTCGGGGCGTATTTCTACCATCGATAGCATTTCCGTCAAGTATGGATTGAAACGAAAGTAGACATGTTCGGGTAGGAGATCGTTCAGCATTGTATGTACAGCTGTAGAGAAAATCATTATCGAAATTAAAGGATACATTCCGTACAGAACAATGAAGTAAATGTTTGAGGGATTATTTCATAAATTAATACCTTCTGTGTCTGTCGCACTATCTAAAATTTTATAAAACTTTTCTTTCCAACTTGAGATCGCTATTTCCGTACGTTCGTCGCTGTTTTCACATGTTCGATTTAATGTTCGCCCAGTTCCAAATGAAATCACACACTGAATTGGATTATTTGGCCATAATCGTTTGGCTTCGTGTAATGCAACTGCACACGGATTATTTACAAGAATCCCTGCGTAAAATTGAACCATTTAAACGTTTAACGTTCTGTTTTTATATTTCACTTAAACATTCGTTATTTATTATATAAAATATATTGATGTATACCTCCGTCTTGATGAAGATATTCGCCATATTTAAATTCCTCAAAATAACTAGGTGCTGCTGCAGATGCTCTAATAGCTTCCCACAATTTATGTTTATGAGATCCTATGTATTGACTTTCAACTCTATGAGGCAAAGTGTAATTTCTAAATACATAAGCCATTACACGTTCATGGTTTACTACAGCAGATATGGCTGAAAACTAAACAGTAGTTTCCGTATTAAAATTCTTTTCATTTTCGGTGTTATGAAAAAGTTTACTACTGCAAAATTTTGTATATAAATAAAAAGTAGACATACTTTCGGAGCAGTTGCATCGCGAACTGTTTTTATGAGAGCTTTGTCACCTAAATTCTCTTGTAATAATTTTTCCCAAAGTGCTGTATCATAATACCCATGGCTCCATACTAAATTACTCGTACCTTTTATAGCACTTTGCGTAAATACTTTAGAACTTAATTCCTTATACAATTCAGATATCTCGTGTAATGATTTTCGCTTGTGTCCACCTATAAAACAATTCATTATTAAAAGATAATTAAGTCGTAAATAGTATTAAATTTTATGATTACATACAAATGCTACTGACATTCTTAACTAATTAACATAGTGTAAGTTAGGTTAAGAACATTGAAGTAAATTATTAGAGAAGATGTACGAGAAGGAGATAAAATGTAAATTATAAAACGTGCAATGAAAAATGTGATTACCTTCCTTACCTTCTGTAGGGTCCTTTAGGGGGACTGTACACAAATGTTAGTTAAGTATACTACTTATGTACATTGTTAGGCATATCAACTTTTTAAAATAATTATAAGTCTTAAAAACAAGTCTTGAAATGAGAAAATGTACAATGGTTTAATAAAAAATATGTACATTGTATACATACCTAAAGCAGCAGCAAGAATAGCTCCTGTACTCACACCACATATGTAATCGAACATTTCATGAGTTTTCTTCCCTGTCAGTTCTTCCAGTTTTTTCAACATTTCTATAACTAATACTCCACGTATACCTCCCCCATCGATAGAAAGAATTTTAATGCCTCTACCAGGCAGAGGATCTGTATAACCCAATACTGCTAATGCTTCTCTGATAGATGCTGTAAAGTTAATGTCTTAAAATTAAAACTATTTTGTTGTCTTAACAGAAAATACAGGGTGCAACATAAATGCATATCAATACTTTAGGAGGTAAATCTACACACTAAACAAGTAAAAAAAAAAAGGTCAAATGGTCAGTATGGTCTTAGTTCTCGAGTTTTGGATGATTAAAGAAAATGTTCGAAGTGCCCGCCTCGTACCTCAATACACGCTACTGTATGCCTTAGTACGTTTTGACCTTATCTAATGTTTATAAATAATATCCATCGAAATGAAGCAGATAAAATTTTTGGCAATCAGTGCCTTATTCTTGCAAGTTCAGTAGTGTTCTAAAAATCGGCAAAATGATTATGTATCTTCTGCTGAAATGACCGACATGCATTTCATGTATGACCGTGCCAACGGAAATGAACTGGAAGCACGTCTGGAGAACATTTTCCAGTATGCAGAATTCCGGATCGTAGAATGTTTTCTTCCATTCATAGACGGCTTCAAGAAAGTAGAACATTGAAGTTGCGAACACACGATCGCGGGCGGTCAAGAAGAGTGTCTACGCCTTATCTTGTAGGTTCATGTTTCTCATCCCACAGTGTGGCGAATATTACACACACAGCAGCTTTATCCATATTATTTGCAACGTGTATAAGGCCTTCAACAGGCAGATTACATTTTAAGAACATTTTGCGAATGGTTACTCAGATAACATGCTGGAAATCCCACTTTCCTATGTCCCATTTTATTTACTGACGAGGCAGCATTTACTAGAAATGGAATAATGAATTATCGTAATGAACATGTTTGGTCAGAAGATAATCCACACACAAACTTGGAATTAAGGTACCAATAACAGTTTTCTGTTAATGTGTGGGGAGGAATTGTGGGGGAAGTCTTTTGGGACTATACTTTCTTCCATCTTGCCTAAATGGAACTGTTTATCTTGACTTTTTACAAAACGACCTCCAGGAAGTACTGAATGATATACTCCTGGATATCAGACAAAACTTGTGATTCATGCACAATGGTGCTCCACCTCATTTCCTTTGTGCAGTGAAAAGATTCCTAAACAACACGTTCGCAAATCGATGGATAGGGCGAGGTGGACCCACTGCATGGCCACCACGATCTCCTGATTGTAACCCATTAGACCTTTGGAGCCATTTAAAAACTATTGTGTATACAACGTAAGTGAATAATGTGCACGATCTGCAAGGAAGGATAGAAAATGAATCAGACTATTCGAAGAATACCTGGTATTCTCCAGCGAGTGCGGAGCTCCATGCTACGACGTGCAACAGCGTGTATTGAGGCACGAGACGAGCGCTTCAAACATTGTTTTCAATCATCCATAACTCGAAAACTAAGGTATATCGGACATATGTCCATAGGATATTTTTTACTCGTTTTAGTGTGTAGATTTACCTCGTTGAGTATTGACGTGCATTTATAAAACATCCTGTATATTTCTAAATCAACGTGTACCTTTTATTTGTTCATCTTTAACTTTTTGACGAGTTTTGAGCAATATTCTAATTGCTCCTTCTTTAATCGCATAATGCCTGGACTCTGGATATTGATCAATATGTATTAACAAATCTTCGATCCTTCTCCAGCGTGAAGCATTTGATTCAGCAGTTATAATACTGTTCAAAACATGTCGTGTTCTAGATGCAATGCTATGTTTTGGTATAGTTTTATGGACATTTACTTTCCATTTTGGTGACACAACTAAGTTGGCTGTTTTACTTTGAACAGTTAACTTAAATATCAATGCACCAAGAAACTGAGAAAAAGCATAAGAGCCTCCTTTGTTTTGAAATTTATGTTCATTTACAATCTCTTCCTGTACTTGCTGTACAAGTAAAACATAAATAATCATTATTTAGTACGGTAAATAACTTCATCTTTGAGTATATTATTTTCATATGTTAATTAAAATAACTAACTTACTTCCTCGTATTTAACAGAATTGGCAGCTAATATTTCTTCTTCTTGGGTTTCCAATATAGCTTTCTCTTTTTCTGTTTTGCTGTTACCACACTTTTCAACATTTAATGCTTTTCCATCGCTTATATTTTTGGAAAATTCATTTAGTGATAGTTTCTTCAACGTATTTATTTGTGAATATGTAATTCTCTGTAGAAAATCTAACCAATCTTTGGATAAAATGATTTGTAGATTTTTATCATAACCAAATTTATGTAGGTAATCTTTCAATTGCGTTAAAAGTTTCGAATGATTTTGCATAGACATTTTCGTTTTCCACAATGTACTTATGCGACTAAATAGCTGACTTCTGTTAACACTTCCACCATAATTTTTGCCCGAAGCACTATCTGTTAATTGCCTGTAATTATAAAATATTTCCTACTTATGTATATAAATGTCTAAATATTATAGCAGTATGCTTTATTACAAAATAAGAAATCTCTAATTTAAAATTATAGGATTGTTATTTTACTTTCAACTTATATACATAGTAAACTAATACGATGAAAATAACCTATAATAACTGTATTTAGAAGTGAAAAATATGTATAATGAATAATTATTTCACGAATGCATCCTTGTTTTAGACATAGTTGCTCTTGAAATTAGAAAAATATGCTATGAAAAGCTATCCTATATGTAAATAAGTCATGGTACATACTAAAATACATTACGTGCACGATGTATCAAAATTCAAAATCGTTAGAATGTTGAAAGACGTTTTAGTAATCGCTTAATTTAGCGTCGAATTTTCGCGAACAGGTGTAACTATTATTAATTTGGACGTAAGCCTAACATTTCCTCTTCACGTATATTTATATGTGTAACATGACATATATGTGCAGATGCATACATAGCGTTATACTTAATCCGCTGTATGCGGATACAAATATGTAATGCGCATAATCGCACGACTTTTAATGTAATATAACGCGATAAGTTTAAGTACGAAGGAAGTAACTATAGTTTTGAAGTCAGAGAATATGGAATGCAAAAGTGATTATTCCTCATGAAAAAAGAAGGAAATGTAACAATGATAGTATATAGTTTTGAAGTATACCTCGATAAAAAGATCTTTGATAATATTTTATGGTAGCATTCACGTCATTTTTAGTTTCCTTTGTAGATCGGATAAGAAAGGGATAGAAATAAAAAGAGAATAAATTATTATTAACTTTTACTAAGTAAAAGTATTAACTTTTCACACTAACGATTATCGCAACTATTCATAATTTAAGACATTAATTTTTGAATAAAACATAAATATCAAAAACACTCCTTCCAATTTATTTTCAGTACTTTTAACTATTTCTGTTTAGATGATTTTCATTGTACAAAAATAAAATTAATACACTAGCTTTTGCTAGTGTATAATGACACAATGATGCTCTGTTTATAATATTGTTCTTTTGTACTTGACGTCACTTTATCCTTTTTACGAGTGTCGTTTAATTGTCTGACAAAAAATTGTTCAATATAGAAAATTACTTCTCACTGAACTTTTTTGAACTACTAAATATGCAAACGTTTGATTCTACTTATATAAAAGAACTGCTGACGCAGTTGAAAGTACTCGATTTGTAAATAAAATCACACGATACTGTTCCACCAACGGGATTTGTTGGCAACTGCATACGAATTTAACACTCTTGACAGTTCAATGTACCGGCAAAGATAAACATCGCGTATTAGTAACGTTGTTTACACTTTTGTTTACATTTCTTATATGTAAACATCAATAATCTTATTTGCATTGAGATTGTAAGATATTTGCACGTCGGAATGCATTCTGCAATCATTGGAAGAAAAATGCTACTCCGTTATTTATCACAATATGTACTATGATGTGTTATTGCACGTAACAATTATAGAGAAATATCTATGGATATAACTTCTCCATTCTTAATACGTTGTTGCATGCTTAGCAAGTAAATTCACCCACACGCGCGCGTAAGCACAAGTCCATTGTATTCGAACAAATAATATTAACTTGAACTATTCGTGGCAGATTGATGGTAATATTTTACGTAATATCAATCATTACGCACATCAAATTGAAAACGTAAGACTTAAATGGAAACATAGAATCTCAATGTGACGTCCACGTTCTACGACTCATGCGAATCAGTCATGAGGTCCATGCTGCGAGATTTTCATGCAAATCCACTATTCTTAGTTTCAACCACAGACGACGTACAGAATAGAACTAACATCTTATGGGGCTCTGTGTCCGTGGCATAACCTATAATTAGCAACATTTATTGTATACTTAAGATTAAGTTCTTTGTAGCGGTTCTAAAAGAATTTATTTATAGATTTCAAAAAAATCGGGAACTAAAACAACAGTGGATAAAAGCAATAAAATGTAATAATTTTGAGTCTTCACCTCATACAAGAGTATGTTCAAAACATTTTGCAAATGATTACTTTGTTGAAAGTCCTTGTTCAAAGCGAATATTAAGAGCTGATGCTATACAAAATGTATCAGATGTACCTGAAACACTGCATAGGCAAGAAACAGATATACTCAGTGTTTCATGGATTGAAACAGAAAATGAAACTGCAAGGTATAACTCCACTATAATTTGTTTTTAGCTTAAATAATGAACTTGAAGGAGACTGTTTAATATACAGGGTGTCCTACGCAACTGGAACAGGCTGTACCTCCTAAACGGTTGGGAATAGAAGATGTTATAAGTAGAAGTTAAATGGTATTAGACGGTGCATAATATGCAACTAACTTTATGCACTTTTGTGCATCAGTGCATCAGAAAAATGCAACTGCACTTTTTTTTTAAATGGAAACCTATGTGTTTGAGTGTACCAATCGATGCAGTTTCTTGTGCTCGACATAAAAGTACTAACATACTTATGCCCTAAACTTATTCGTTAGGAAGTTATCGAAGCTAAAAGTTCTCTGAATTATAATGGAACATAACGTAGGTACTCTGAAACACTTACCGAGAGACCGAAATAATTCAGAGAAATTTTAGCTTCGATAACTTCCTAACGAATAAGTTTAGGGCATAAGTATGTTAGTACTTTTATGTCGAGCACAAGAAACTGCATCGATTGGTGGACTCAAAAACATAGGTTTCCATTTAAGAAAAAAGTGCAGTTGCATTTTTCTGATGCACCGATGCACAAAAGTGCATAAAATTAGTTGCATATTATGCACCATCTGATACCATTTAACTTCTACTTATAATATCTTCTTCTATTCCCAACCGTTTAGGAGGTACAGCCTGTTCCAGTTGCGTGGGACACCCTGTATACTGTTAGTAATGACGAACAAAATGGAACCTTGAGGAACCTTGAAAAAAGAAGCGAATAGCTTATGTTGATGATTTTATGAATGTGATGTGATAAGTGAGAAAGAATACTATGTGCAGATCATTAATACAATAATAGCAAAAAAAAAAACAAACAAACAAATTAAAACATTGCAACAGAAAAACAAAAGGCTTATACAAAAAATTAAAGATTTATATTTGTTAGTGGGTGACTTGAGAAAGAAGCATATGATTACTGAAGATGTTTCTGTAATTCTTTCGGTATGTATAAATTTGAATGATATAAGCACGAAATATTCTATTAATGGGTTGTTCTATTTTCTGCTTGTCATATTAAGTAGAAATGTACATGGATGTTTTATATGTAGTTGTATATAGCACCTACTATTTCTTTTTTGTTTTCTTGTTTAAACACACTTTAGAACAATTTATCCACTTCCACCAAGACCCTATTTAACCCTTTGCGGACGGGACGGTTCAAAGCCACGTGTTCCGTGGGGTCGAGCCACTGTCACGATAGTCATTTGAAATTGCCAGCACACATTTCTGCCTTCGCGCTATTGACGTTCATAGCACTCCAAGATGCCAAATTCTGAACATATGTACATGCACAGAGTCTCCACAGGATAAATAAAATGTTTATTTGTTTATTAACATTTTTTATATATGGGTTTATCGGCCACAGTGATGTGTTTATGTGGAACATACATATGTGGCGGCAGTCTGCAAAGAGTTAAACAAATGATGCAATTTAAATCCAAAATATGTCCTGCTGAGCTGAAAAGCTTTGCACTCACTTTAAACTTTTATTCACCAAGAGCATATAATTATGTTAGAGATACATTTCATAATATCCTACCTCATCCTCGAACCTTGCAAAAGTTGTATGCATCAGTTGCATGTGAACCAGGTTTTCATACTGAATTGATAAATACTTTAAAGATAAAGTTTTCTGAGTGTGTAGGTAAAGGTAAAGCTTGTGTCTGTGCTTTGATAATTGATGAAATGGCAATTTATAAGAAAATAGAGTGGGATGGATAAAAATTTGTGGGGTATGTTTTAAGAATGTTTCAGCAGTATGTAACTTTACAAGTTAATTATGAAAATATATACAAAATGATTTCTTGCTAAAGGAGTCTTTAGGATGTTGGCAAACAAGCTGAAAGTATTACTTCACCGGAAGCAAAAGAGACAATTGGTATTTTTAGTTAACTGTGTAAATGACCGATGGAAACTACCAGTAGGCTACTTTTTAATCAATGGGCTATCAAGCAGTCACAAATATAATTTACAAGGGAATATATGGAAGTGTCAATCATCGATTTTGATGAAATTTAAGTATAATGTAGTTCTTATAAAAATATTTGACACATATTTTTCTTATCGACCTACCTAACCTAACCAAGTTAAGGGAGTGAAAATTACTCCCAAAGTGGAAGCTGCGAAATCTATTTCGACGAATATTTCGGAAACTACTAGAGATAGAGTAATTGTGTAAATCGATGAAATTAGTATCTTTTAACGACGAATTCGATGGTTGTAAAATATTTGACAAAAAATCCATTTGTTTACATAATTTTACATAATTTTTCCAGTTAAATATTAACACATTGGCGACGGACGACACGTATACGCGTCATTCAAGTTCTTTACTTGGGTACGGATGACGCGTTTTCGCGTCATCGATATCTTCATATTGTTCACGCGGTTCGCGACGTGTGGAACCAGCGGGATTCCCTTACGAACTCTTATGCAGGTAAGGGATAATTGATTGAGAATGGGTTGGATTTTGTAACACTCAATTATTATTTGCAAACATTAGTGAAATCTAAGCTATCTTAAAACTAGGAGTCTTTATTAATGCAAGTGTTCTTGTGTAGTGAGCTGAGTTTGTGTTGTTACTGATTCGAGGTCCGTCGGTTGTCCTTCACCTCACCTCGGATAAGGCGTGTCTAAGGGTTTGAGACATGCGGATTGGTGAATGTCATTAGTCGGAAGTAGCGAGGGTGGTGGTTGATATTTTGACTGATAGGTTAGAAAAAATGCGGAAGGAGAAACAAAATAGCCACCCCCAAGCAAACCGTCACTCTCAGGTAGAACACGTGCTCCCTGGGTGACCGTCGCGAAAATCCGCTTGCCTCGAAACCCGGAACGGTACAGGTAATAAACTTATGAAGCACTCTGAGGTGAACAATACATGAAAGAAACAAAGTAAAATTCTAAACCTCGGTCATCGGTGAAAAAACAGGGACTTATAAGGAATGCGATGGAGAATCAATGGCTTCATAAAGTTATTGTCTCTACCGACGGGTCAGGATTTGGAGAAATATTTGAACGATGTAAAATTTAGAAATCCTGACCCGGTTTATGGAGGTCTCTTTCCCCTTGGGGTAGTGTAGGTATGTGCCGCGTAACATCCTCCCCCCGTTGAGAGTATTACGATCAATAAGAGCATTGAAGGAAGGATGTGTAAGAAAGTGTTGTGACGAATGTGTGAGTATGTACAGTGTTATGTTATTATGTAATCAGACAAGGGTCTCTTTATGAGGTATGGCCTTCTCGATCTGGTCTTCTGCAGACTGGGATGGTAGTGGTACCAGTTTCTTGACACTTCGATCAAAGGTAGACGTAGCAGTCTTGACTGTCACGGTACGGATGATACCGTCGGACCCTGGATGAACCTTCATCACTCTGCCTAAGGCCCACTGCATGGAGGGCAGATTCGTCTCCCGGAGTAGAACCACGGTGCCTTCCTTGATAGGGTGCGACCCTTTGGTCCATTTGGTGCGGTTGTGGAGTTCGTTGAGATACTCTTTATGCCAACGAGCCCAGAAATGCTGCTTCATTTGTTGGATGTGCTGCCAACTCGACAATCTATTAGTATTTATATCTCTGACATCTCGCTCGGGTAGGCTCGTCAGAGATTCACCGATGAGGAAATGCGCAGGAGTGAGGACCAAGAAGTCATTTGGATCGGATGAGAGAGGAGTAAGAGGACGCGAATTCAGCACAGCCTCGATCTCGATAATTAACGTGTTCATGTCTTCGAATGTAAAAAGTGTGGAGCCTGCAACGCGTTTGAAATGGTTCTTAAAGGACTTCACTGCCGCCTCCCAGAGTCCTCCGAAGTGGGGAGTCTGCGGCGGAATGAAATGCCATTGTATGTTTCGCTCGACTAAAAATGCGTGGATTCGATCATGATGCTCCGGTGACTTCAAGAGGTTTTGGACCTCGCGCAGAGCATTGTACGCTCCCACGAAATTTGACCCGTTGTCGGAATATATGTTGGAGCAAAAGCCGCGTCGAGCTATAAAACGACGAAGGGCGGAGATGAAGGCCTCGCTAGTAAGGTCGCTTACCAATTCAAGGTGGACCGCCTTCACTGCGAAGCAGACGAACACCGCGATGTATACCTTTATTCGCGTACGATTACGATGTCGTCGTTGCTTAATGAAGAACGGCCCGCAGCAATCCACTCCGACATTCGTGAATGGTCTAGCTTGTTTAACCCGGTCTCCAGGTAGATTGCCCATTACGTAGTCTACCGCAGGTGGTTGAGCTCGGCAGCAGCGTACGCATTCTTTTATGACCTTCCATACCTGACTTCGCCCGTCAATGGGCCAGTATTGTCTTCGCATGGAGTATAGGGTAGCTTGCACTCCCGAGTGCAAGAGCATGAGATGATGATGCTTAATTAGTAAAGCTGTTGAGTATGTCTTTGGTAAAATAATTGGATGCTTAGCTGAGAAAGGAATTTTCGAATTTCTCAATCGCCCACCGACTCGAAGAATACCGTCCTTGTCGATGAATGGAGCCAAACGTTGTAATTTCGGTTGCGCTTCTCGATCCTTTTCCAGATTTCTCAGATCATGCGCGAAGTGTTGTCGTTGCAGCATCCTAATGACTGTGTCATGTGCATGTTGTAATTCAGGAACTGTGATGTTTCCTCTAACAATGTTGTTGGGTTTCCAACGAAGACAGCGGGCAAGGACTCTTAGTAACTTCCCCCATGATGAATACCGATCTAAGATATCGGTGTCAATTGTGGCAGTTACCAGACAGATAGTAGCCCTTTTGCTCGTCGGCCGTTCCTTCAATTGAAGGTACCTTCCATGTCGGCCAGTCAGCTTCTGGTCTCCTAAGCCACTTCGGTCCGTTGTGCCAGTTGGATGGTTTTAAAAAATCTTCTGGCGATTGGCCGCGGGAAATCAGGTCCGCGGGATTGTCTTCTGTCCGGATGTGATGCCAGTCGGATGCTCGAGTTTTCTCTTGAATTTCGGCCACTCTGTTTGCCACGAACGTCTTGAGTGTATGAGGTGATGTGTTTATCCAGTGGAGAACTATGGTTGAATCGGTCCAGAGGCTGCAATGGTCAATTTGAAGGTGGAGCGCGTTTCGTACTGTAGTAAGTAAAGAAGAAAGGAGAAGAGCTCCACACAATTCCAGTCGCGGAATGGTTTGTGATTTTAAAGGGGCGACCTTTGACTTGGCTACTAGAAGTTCCGTTTGAATGTTGCCGCTTGAGTCTATTGTTCTCAGGTATACGCATGCCCCGTATGCCCTTTCGCTGGCATCGCAAAACCCGTGTAATTGGATTGTCGCGGTTGCTCTGATAACTGTTTTGCGGCTAAATGATATATTGTTGAGTAATGGAAGCTTATAATAATATTGTGACCATGCGTGATGAATATCCATAGGCAGCAATTCATCCCAATCGATTTTTAAAGCCCAAATCTTCTGGAGAAGAATCTTCGCGACAATGATCACGGGACCTAGAAGTCCTAATGGATCGTAGATCTTGGCGATTTCCGAGCTGATGACTCTCTTTGTTATTTGTGACATCGAGGTTGTGATAGTGATTGAATAATTAATTGTATCCGCGGCCGAGTCCCAGTACACCCCGAGCGTTTTGACGGTCGTGGATTCACCGAGATGTAGTTTGTTGTTAATCTTGCTGGCTGGTAGTCCACGGAGTAGATGTGAGTCGTTGGATGCCCATTGTCGAACATTCAAACCTGCTAGAGATAGTAATTGTGTGAGCTCTTGCCGTAATGTGAAGGCTTCCTGCTTTGTCGTCGCTCCTGTGAGCGCGTCGTCCACGTAAAAATCGCGCTGTAGAATATTTGCGGCGTGCGGGTATCGATGGCCTTCGTCCAGTGCGAGTTGTTTGAGGCATCTGATTGCTAGATAGGGTGCTGCTGATAAACCGAATGTCACCGTGTTTAATTCGTAGGTTTGTATTTTTCCCGAATGATCACGCCAGAGGATCCTCTGATATCTGCGGTCTGGTAGGCGAACAAGAAACTGTCGGTACATTTTTTCAATATCTCCCGTGATGACGTATTGATGTGTGCGGAATCGAAGCAGGATGTATAGTAAATCGTCTTGTATCTTTGGTCCAGTGTGTAGTGTGTCGTTCAGTGAGATGCCGGAGGTGGTCTCCGCGGATCCGTCGAAAACGACACGAAGCTTCGTCGTGTTACTGCGTGCCTTGATTACTCCGTGATGTGGGAGATAGTATGAGTGACCGTGTGTGCGAGGATTTGTCCTTGACATGTGTCCCAGTTCCAAATATTCATTGATGACAGTAGTGTACTGTGCCTTCAAGTCTGGTTCCTTCATGAGGCGTCTTTCGAGGGCGAGAAGCCGTTTCTCCGCCCTTGCACGCGACTCTCCTAATTGATTTTTGCTTTCATTGAAAGGTAGAGCGACGACGTACCTGCCGTGTTTATTCCGTGTTGTGGTCTTCTGAAAATGTTCTTCGCATATAGCTTCCGATTTCGAGAGGTATTGTTTCTGCGGACCTTCTTCGATTTCCCAAAACCTTGAGAGGTCGTTTTGCAGCGTTGTAGTTGAAAAGCACGACGGCGAAGATTCCCTTTGATGGCACGTGCTGACTGTCCCCCCGAAGACCCATCCGAATTTGGTCTTTTGCAAGTACAAATCCGGGCCGTTGGGAGAGGAAAGATTTATTTGTCCCACGCATAGTAGTGATAAAGCCGCTCCTGCGCACAGCAACATGTCGACTGGCGCAGGACGATGAAAGTCTGGATCCGCAAGTTTTATATTCTTTGGGATGGAGAAGCCCGATCGATCAATCTGTTGATTCGGGATCGGCGAAGAGATTTCCTTTATTACGAGGAATGTCAGTGTGCGCTCGTAGCTTGACGTGCGGGAGCGTATAGTGGCGGCAACAGTGTGTTTGGCGATTGTTCTTAGTGTATTAAGCGCTCCAATAGGTATGTGGGTTGATCTCATGGGAAGTCCGAGCCCTTTCGCGAACGTTTCTGTGATGAAGTTTGTCGTCGCGCACGTGTCGATCAAGGTTCGACAAATGATGGGTTTTCGATCCTGATTTAGTGCGTTGATCTGCGCGGTTACTAAGAGATCGCTTGATGCTGTGTCAAGGACAAACGCGCATGGTGAGGTTTTTATTGCTAGTCAATCGGATTTTGGACTCTCGCTTCCGGGTGATTGCGGCCTTGATTTATTTGGACGTAACTTCCGTTGCGGTTTTCGTTGGCTATTGTGGTCTGTCCGTGATCTTTCGGGTGGAGATCCTGATCTGCGCGACGATTTCGTTGGCGAGGGCGGCGGTGTTGACGATGAGGACGATGATGTTCGCGTACGTTGTATGGCTCTGGGTGACGATGAATGTCGACGTGAATTTTCCTTCCGATGCAGTAGTGTGTGATGTCGACTGTTGCACACGCGGCACGAGCTACTGTTGCATCTTTCTGCTGAATGCCCTGGTCGAAGACAATTTGTGCAGAGACGTATTTTTCGAGTGATCTCAAAACGCTTAGACGCTGTGTTAGCGAGGAAATTCTCGCATGCCCAGATGTCATGCGGTCCTTGACAATTGGGACACGATCGTTGGGTTTGTGTCGTGATGAACGCGTATGACCGCGGCGGTACGGTCTTTGGGGCGGTTGATGATGTCTGTCGCGAGTCCTTATAATCCCTTTTTCCAAAGGGCGGTTTTATGGCTGACGCGCAATTTGCCCGTTTTTCCAAAAAATCTACTAGGGTGTTATACGCTGGCATCTTTTTATTTGTTAACGTCAGTTCCCATTGCCACGCGGTCTCGTAACTGATTTTCGATAAGATGCTGGAGATTAACACGGTATTCCACGCCTCGATCGGCTCGCCCATATTCTTCAACGCGCGCAGATGTAAGTTATACGTATCGACAAGTTCTCCTAGTGCCTCTGGAGTTTCCCGTGATAATCTTGGAAGATCGCGAATCGCGTCTACGTGGCGTAGTAGAATACGGCGTGTGCAATCAAATTTTTGTTTAAGTAATTCGATCGCAACCTCGTAGTTCGAACCCCTTGTTGTTAAAGATCGAACGCAGGTAGCGGCCCTTCTGGTCAATGCACTGCGCAGGTACTGTAGTTTTTGCACCGGTGTCAGGTTTTCGTTTCGATCGATGGTCGATTCGAATATATCGAAGAAGGAGTCCCAATCCTCTATGGTCCCGTCAAAGGTGGGTAAACGCATTTCTGGCAATTTTACGGTGATGGGCGCGGATGTAGATATAGTGGGTGAGAATGCTGCGCGAGTATTCGTGGTCGCGTGGAGATCTTCGTCTAAGAGTTTTCTAGCCCGTGCTGTGACGGCGTAGTAATTGTTATGCAATTCGAATCGGCGATCTGTCTCATTTTCGTCTAGTTCTTCGATAGCGTCTTGAATGTCGTCGAATTTTTTCCACGCCTGTGCTGTTCCATCGAGATGGGCTTGCATCAAGTGCCTATCGCGGTCTACTGTCTTTTCGTATTGCTCGAGAAACTTTGTAAATGAAGTCAAATGGCCGATTATTTGGCCACGTTTCCGACGCAAAGCGCTAATATCTTTATCTTGGCTGGCTGAAGCCTTCGCGGAAGGATTTGAAGAAGCGGCTCGACTTTGCATTTTGAAGGGAGAAACTAGGAAGGATTGGTGATAATTTTACGAGCCTACCTTGAACTGCGAGGATCTCAGGATTGTCGAGACTGGCAAGCTTCCGTTCCCTGGACCTGGATGCCGAAGTTGCTTGAAGATCGCCTTGGGATGATGGTTGTGGACACTTGATTTCACTCGCGGTTTGCTTCGTTCTTTGTCACGATTGATTTCGCACTACTAAAATCCGGCTCGAAGGACCAACACTGTTCACGCGGTTCGCGACGTGTGGAACCAGCGGGATTCCCTTACGAACTCTTATGCAGGTAAGGGATAATTGATTGAGAATGGGTTGGATTTTGCAACACTCAATTATTATTTGCAAACATTAGTGAAATCTAAGCTATCTTAAAACTAGGAGTCTTTATTAATGCAAGTGTTCTTGTGTAGTGAGCTGAGTTTGTGTTGTTACTGATTCGAGGTCCGTCGGTTGTCCTTCACCTCACCTCGGATAAGGCGTGTCTAAGGGTTTGAGACATGCGGATTGGTGAATGTCATTAGTCGGAAGTAGCGAGGGTGGTGGTTGATATTTTGACTGATAGGTTAGAAAAAAAATGCGGAAGGAGAAACAAAATAGCCACCCCCAAGCAAACCGTCACTCTCAGGTAGAACACGTGCTCCCTGGGTGCTTATGAAGCACTCTGAGGTGAACAATACATGAAAGAAATAAAGTAAAAATTCTAAACCTCGGTCATCGGTGAAAAAACAGGGACTTATAAGAAATGCGATGGAGAATCAATGGCTTCATAAAGTTATTGTCTCTACCGACGGGTCAGGATTTGGAGAAATATTCGAACGATGCAAAATTTAGAAATCCTGACCCGGTTTATGGAGGTCTCTTTCCCCTTGGGGTAGTGTAGGTATGTGCCGCGTAACACATATATTTGTCCCAATATAAATTTGTAAGACGTTATCGTCTGTGAATTTTCGACTGATATTGGCCGAACTTCATAATTCATACTTTAATCATGTCTCAGATTATCAAGGATATGAAGAAGGAGAAGCTTGCCGACTCGGAGGATGTTGAATCTAAGGTGGAGAAGAAGAAACCTGCGAAAACAGGAAAAGGTTCCCGTCAAAAACGTATCGATGCTTTTCGGTCGAAGACGAATGACGAGACTGACAAGGCCATACTATCTGGCATCTTCGCACGCCTCAAGATATCTGATCCTACTGCAGTCTCTGCAATCGACATTCCGCGTGAGCGCCACCCGACCGTAGTCCCAGTGACTTTCCGGCGTCGGAGATCTCTCATTGAGAGAACTTGGGATGCCATGGAGGCAGTTGGTGCGCGCCCCTTTAGGGACGTTAACACACTAGGGAACAAGATGGTCTTTAGAAAGGGGATGTTAATCTTGTCCGAGGCAAAAGTTGCTTTTGCGCAACGTGCCCATATAGATAAACCGGACGAAGAGCTTCCAGTTCGATTTCTCTTCAGAAATTCTCTTCTCTTTCTATTATATTCCGCGATGATTGATACCGTGACTGTATATACAACGTTAGCGTGATGAGGTACACATTCGACGTTTGGGCGTTGCTTCAGACCATAGTGATAGATTTCAAGTAACTCTGTTTATATCAGAATAAGATATTTCTTTATGGTTGGTAAAGTGACCCTGCATTGACAGGGCAAGAGTAAAATCTTTTAGTCTGTTCTTGGCCTTTGCAGCTATTGTTGCGTCGCACCTCCTCACCCTCTACAGGGGGTCATATCGCGGCCCGACATCTGCGTCGCAAGAAGCTTCAATATTTTCCGAGCCATTGTCTATCCAGAGACTCCCATGTCCCTTTTTTTCTCTTTATTAGTTTCAGCATGTTTTGTCAGAGTCGAAGTGCTTCCTAAGTTTATTGCTCGCTACGGTCATTATCCGAGACACACGGAAATCCCGCGAGCGTCCCTCAAAGGTACTTCTGTACCTGCGGTTACTTTTTCTTCAAAATACCTACTATGATTAACCAATAGCATATCTCAACCACCTCTCTTCGCCAACTCGATACATGTCGCATCAACTCGATACATGTCAATCAACTTATCCGCGAGTCTCATCCCCCGAACGCGCCCTCTGCGAGGTGACTTAAGTCACCTCACAACCGAAAGGTCTCAGATTACGAATAAACATCACCTAAGGAACAACGAAAAAGAACAGTGTCTGTATCCATTTTCAACGAGGTTCAGAATTTTTAATTCAAGGCTGAACCATAGGGAGCTCAGAACCGCACAAGGTCGAACGCTCGCAACAACTATCGTATGTGTTTCCGAGCAGTCAGTGCTTTCCTGTGTTTGAATAGTAAAAATTTTATTTCTTATATTTTTCTAAAAATCCAAACAATGGAGGAATTCCTTTCGGAGATCTGTGAAGACTCTTTATCAGACGTCGCTGAAAATGACAGTGAAGACTCTGATATTGTACCGCTACGACGAAGAGTGGGTTTATTACGTGTGCTTTCCTCGTCGTCATCAAGTGAAGAAGAAATAGAAATAGAAGAAAATAATACGGATTGGTCGGAATTTAATCCAGAAAGACATAACGAATAATTCGAAGGTATTGCTGGAGTGAAAATCTTTCCAGACAATCCTCAAAGTGTTGCGGATGTGATCTCTTTATTCATTGGGGATGATTTATTTGAAAAAATTGTGCTTGAAACAAATCTTTATCATAACACAAATAGCCACAGATATAAAAATCCTGTACATAGATCTAAATGGGTCGATGTCACAGTTCCGGAAATCAAGAAAGCATTTGCCCTTATAATAATTATGGGCTTAGTGAAGAAAAACAAGATACACAATTATTGGTCCACAAATCCACTTATAGCAACTTCAGTTTTTGGCAATACTATGAGTAGAGATCGGTTTTTACAAATTTGTACTTTCCTGCATTTCACTAATAACACAGTTGTCCATGCAAATAAAAACAAGCTAATAAAAGTGCAGGAAATTATAGATTATTTTCTAGATAAATTGAAAAGTGTATATGAACCAGGACAGAATCTATTCCCCATGGAGGGGAAGACTTCAATTCCGAGTTTACAACCCTAGTAAAATTATAAAATATGGCATTCTCAATAGAATGGTTTGCGAGTCCAAAACAGGACATATTTGTAATTTTATTCTTTATTGTGGAAAGAATGTCAAGTTGGAGAACACCATCATGAACCTAATGGATCAATACCTAAACAAATGGCATCATCTATATGCAGATAACTTTTACAATAGTGTAAATTTAGCTTCTATATTATTATCACAAAAGGTCAGACTTTGTGGGACAATAAGAACAAATCGGAGAATCCCAAATTCTTTAAAAAACGTACATCTACAACGTGGAGAAACATGCCACAAGAGAAAAGGAGAAATTATGCTCCAGATATGGAAGAGTGGAAAAAAACGCAATATTCAAATGATCTCTACCATTCATAACGCTAAAATGATAAATTCGAATAAAATTGACCGCAACACGAGGCTTCCTATCCAAAAACCTCATTGTATAATAGATTACAATCAATATATGAATGGTGTCGACCTTGCCGATCAATATCTCGCATACAACCCTATCTTTAGAAAAACTCTGAAATGGACTAAAAAAGTATTTTTCAAATTCTTAATCCACAGTCAAAAATGAGATTCCACGATTTCATGCTGAATATAGCTGAAGCATGGCTAGAAACAACCGCTGATACATCGTACTCTGATATTGAAGAAGCAACGAATGAACCATCGGATCAACTATCAACTTCCGCACGAGCACCTCACTTCGATCCACTGGAAAGACTGACAGGAAATATGAAACAACACGAACCTATAAGAATTTTGAGCAAAAATAAGAAAGTCAGAAGAAGGTGTCGTGTGTGTTATCCACTTTGAACTCAACGACATGCCTCGCAGCGGAAGACATTCGGAATTCGACGAGGAGCGTCTTAAGGCACATTTGAAAGAGGACGGTCGCCAAACAAGTCGCGAATTGGCCGAAAAAATGAACTGTAATCATCAGACTATTCTGAATCATCTTCACTCGATGGGATTCGCAGAAAAATTGGGAGTCTGGGTGCCTCACGAGCTTACTCAAAAAAATAAAGAAAATCGCCTTCAAATTGCTTCGCAACATCTCGCCCGACACCAAGCAACACGTGGGCATAAGCAACGTTTTCTGCACCGAATCATCACGGGAGATGAGAAATGGTGCCTATACGCTAATATGAGGCAAAGAAAAGAGTGGGTGGCCCCAGGTGATACGCTGAAGCCGAGAGTCAAGCAGGACCTACACCCAAAGAAGATCATGATCTGCGTTTGGTGGGACTGGGAGGGAATGGTGCACTGGGAGATGCTCGAGAAGAACAGTACGGTCAACAAGGAACTCTATATTGCCCAACTGCACCGCGTGAATGAGGCAATTCTGCTGAAAAGACCCAATCGACAAGGCCAAACCATAGTGCTTCACGACAACACCAGGCCCCACGTTGCACAAGTTGTTAAAGCCGCCCTCCAAGAGCTCGAATGGGAGGTTCTTTAGCATCCGCCGTACTCTTCGGACCTTGCACCGACCGATTATCACCTTTTCCGCTCCCTGTCGAACCAAATGAGGGGCGTTACCTTCAACAACGATGAGGACTTCACAAAACTGGCTCAACAAGTTCTTCGACACCAGACTGGCCGATTTTTGGCGAAAGGGCATCAACAAATTGGTCGAGAGGTGGGAACAGATCGTAAACAGTGACGGAGAATATATTATTGATTAATTTGTTGTTATAATTATTGTTTTTTTATTCAATAAAACACTTAATAAAAAACGCTACGAACTTATTAGCCAACCCAATATTTTTCTATCTTTTTCACTGCGCCTCATTTAATTCATTCCGCATCTTTCAAATTCTTAATCCACAGTCAAAAATGAGATTCCACGATTTCATGCTGAATATAGCTCAAGCATGGCTAGAAACAACCGCTGATACATCGTACTCTGATATTGAAGAAGCAA